TGAAGAAAGCTCAGATTAAATCTCCACTAGTCTCTAAATAAACAAGACAAACTCTGCTTGTAGCTTTAAGAAACCAAACAAACTAAATAAAAACCCTGAAATAATTTGGAAACTGGGTAAAGTGATGGGAATCGTCTCATAGCTCTGGAATATTTTAGATATTATCGATCGAGCAGTTTTTTTTAGAAGAAGTCTAAATCAAAGTTTAAAGACTGTATCAGAATGAACTTGTGGATTTTGAAACAACAGTTTTTCTACTTAAGAACGATGGAAAACAGGACGTTTGTTAAAGATCGTCTCACAGCCTGTCCCACAAACCACTGAGGGTTTCTAGAAGTCTTCTGGAGTCCAATAATCTGCTCTGCTCCTGTCCTGACCTTTCCAACCATCTTTCATTCATTCGTTGCTTCACAGAATCTCTCATTCCATCATCCAGTCCATCCTCTTCCTCCCTTCTCCTCTTTCAGTCTCTCCTGCATCCCTTTCTTTCTCAGCCTTTCATTCATCCTCCCTCCCGCTTTTCTTCTTCTATCTCTACAGGAAATGGGTTTCTTTCTGTGTAAGTGGGGGTTGGAGGGGTGGACTCACTGTCCCAGACAAAGAGGTCACTGTGTGAATCCTCCAAAAATACAAAGAAGAAAAGGAAAGCAGATAAAGATCAGAACCCTCCTCACAGACACACAGAGATGAACTTTCCCTCTGCTGCTCCCTCGCAGTGTTTCTCTGACATCTTTACACCGTTCGTTCGGACGGATGAGATGTTCGGATCACATCCTGCCAGCTGGGGGTGGAGGAGGGAGGACTGACGTCTCAGAGGAGAAGGAAAAGGAGCAGGTTTGATGAGCTGCATGCAAATGACATGTAAAAATATAAGAGCGAGATACTTAAAACCGGGCTGAGATAAGAGATTTGAAAATGAGGCACTCTTGGAAAGCGTGCTCCTGAACTGCAGAAGATGAAGCTCAGAGATATGGAGGATGGAGGTTTCCCTCTCCTCCACCTCCTCCTCCACCCTGCAGATGACAGCCTGATGCAGATAGCAGCCATAGTGATGAACACCTCCTCTTCCATGTTTGGCTAACCTCTTCTCCTCTCACACATTCCTCTCTGTCTCTGCTCCAAGGAATGAACCTCCTCTCCAGTTTCGCTCCGTCTGCCTTTTATCAGTCCCCATCGAGGAGGCGACCTCCTCCGTCAGGCCTCAGAGAAACGCCGGGACAGGCGGCTTCTGTCAGGATGGGCTGGAAGGTGAAGGTGCTGAAAACGTAATCGGCAAAGATGCAAAGCTCCAGAATCATCCGAGAGATCAAAACCCCAAACCTGAAGCCAAACGAGGCATCCAGCAAGAAAACAAGTAAAAACATCAAAATGAAAGAAAATTAAGCATTTCTTAAAAAAAAAAAAAAAAAAACTTTCATTAAACCCCGCCCACCCCCACCAGGTCAGAGTACCAGTCACAAGTACTGGGTCAGAGTACTGGTCACTGATGAGAGCTACAGTAAAGTGTTGAAGTCTTTTTATGTTTTCTGCAAGTGATTTTTAAATAAAAACGTTGAGATCTTTGCGTAAAATGAAGTTTTTACCGAGCTGTGAATGAACCGTCCTTCCTTGTAAAAAGAATCTGCTTCATGTAAAATCCACTTTGTTTCAGAACTGTTGGACCCAACACAGAGTTTAAACCTCTCACGTTGAGTTTGACTCGGTTCTGTTTCCGTTTTCTTTGAACCCGAGTGTTGAGTTATGCTGTATGTGATATTTAAAGTTGTGAATGCGTCTCTAAAAGCCACTGAAGAGACGGTTTTCTTCTCAGGACTCTTCATTTACTGCAGGAAGAGGACAGTTTGTCTTTTCATACAGAGACTTGAATATTTCCTGAGCGATACGCCGAGTTTTAAGGATAAAGCGTTGCTCCAGAGCTCCACATCCTCATTAATGTTCCTTGTGTGTCCTGTTCTTCGGGGGCATCGCAGAAGGTGCTTCAACACTCACCGTAATCATCGATTTGTCATCTTCTGAAGGAGCATCATTTTAATTAACATTCTAATTTGATGGGCGGAGGAAAGAGAGAAACACTGTTGATGAGTCCAGATAAACTCTGAAGATCAGAATCAGCATGTAAACAAACCGAGGAGGAAGAGCGCTCGACGAGACGATGAGGAGGAGACGATGATCACCTTCACTCGTCCTTCCAGGAAGAAGTGAGGGAGGGAAGGATGGGAGGAGGAGGAGGAGGAGGGAGAAGAGACGAAGAAAAAAGTGTTTGAAAAGCCGTGGGTGGCGCGCCTTATCGCCCCAGTTCTCCTGGAGAGATTATTGGGGGATTAGTGCGAACGCTTGTTTCTAAAACATGATGAAAAGACGTTGGGTGCGTGATAACGCTTTGAACTCTCCTACTCTGCTCCTTCTAGGATCGCGCCTTCAGGCCGCCGTTCCACGAAACACGGGTTCGAGGGGGGGCGGGGCTGCCAGCTGCAGCTGGAGGAGAGGGAGCGATGCTGCGGCGGCAGACTTCACGTTGGACATCCGTCCTCTGGGAGGATGCAACAAATATCACTTTCACACCGCCTTTCATTTCAGCAGAAAACTTTAAAACAATCCTGCTACTTTGGTCCAATCACACCCAGGCTCACTATCAGTTAATTAAAGCGGGATCCAATCAGAAGAGGAGGAGATTTATTATCAGATTTGTTACGAGCGATCCAATCCAGAGAGCAGCTGCTCGCACGGCGGCGGGTTGCCATGGGAGGCCGCTGACGAGGACCTGGGTGTTCACCGAAGCACAAAGTGTGAGGAATCAGCAGCCAGCTGATCGGAGGATCAGTCAACATTATTATACTCGGTTCTAAAGTCCAACAGCCATATCAGCCAGAATATATTTAAATAGATAAATGCTTTTACGCCTCTTTCTCAACAGATGCAAATGGCAGGATTTCCATATAACACAGGCCAGTTAACACGCTGCTAATCTAATGAAGGAGATCTGACAGAGAGAGAGAGGCGACCGGATCTCATCTGCTCCACGCCGGTTCCTGAGAACTCAGAAAACACCAAACTCCTCACAGGTTCACATCAAACAACAGGATTGTTCTGGACGCGTCCGTTTGGGCTCAAGCCAAACACACATCCTGCTGGAGTCGTTCCGTGGCCTCATATTAAACCCAGAGCTTATCGGCTCGCCTCCAACAAGAAGAAAATTTGTTACAAAAAGGCTGGAGAGGGAGGAGGGGGCGCTGGAAGGAGAACTGAACGGGTCGAGCCAATCTGAACCACGGGCCGAGAAGGAATGATGGGAAAAACGTCCAGAACACTGAGATAGGGAGGAGAATAAACGGCCAATCAGAAAACAGAATCGTTCATTTTCAGTGTAAATGATGCGGAACAGAAAGACAACTGAAAAATAAAACTTCACGAACGATGAAGTCCAGAAAAAGATCAGTCAAAAGAGGAACCAAGTACCGTCAGATATAATCTATATTTTTATATACATGTTCATATATTTGTCTAAAATGTCCGTCTGTAGTTTCTGATAAACACCGGCAGGTTATTTTACGTTCAGATAACTTTATTAGTTGTTTTTAAATAAACTGTGCGTGCGTCAGGTGTACCAGCGGTTCTGGTTCTGGTCCTGGCAGAGTTGTCTCCAAGCAGGACGGCCCTGACCCTTGCAGACCCCTGAGGGAGGGAGAGAGGGATGGAGGATGTGGAGTGACGGAGGGGGGGAGGAATGTGAGATTGCAGCCACTATCTGCTGCAGATACAGAAGGTCCGTCTCCTCACCCCTTCAGTCCGCAGACAGGAGAGAAAACGGGTTTAAAGAGTCATCACGAGAAGCTTTCCATGAGAATACTAAACACACACACACACACACACACACATCCGAACACTCTGATAATAAACGAGATCTTAGAAATGAGAGCCTATCAAGCAGGAATCAATCACTGGGGTTTCTGTCCAGGAGGATGGCGCCATGTGGAGATAAAAGACAGGCGGCCGTCTGGGGGGAGGGCAGGGTGAGACGGGGGTGGAGGGGTTGATGGAACAGAAGGAGGACTCTGATGAGGAGAGGATTCATTTGGACCGGACTTTCAGTTTGGAACTGGGTTTATTCTGAGCTCAAATGAGAAGGAAAAGAAAAAGTGGTCATAGAGAGGAATGAATGACATGACCGTGTGTGTGTGTCTGCATATCGGCGTGTGTGTGTGTGTGCATATCGGCGTGTGTGTGTGTGTGTGCATATCGGTGTGTGTGTGTGTCTGTGCATATCGGTGTGTGTGTGTGTCTGTGCGCGTGAGGCTTGGTGCGTTTTGTCCGTGACTCCGCTCCACTCCAGGAAGCTCCTCCTAGCATCAGTATCATATGATTAGATGGACCGGCACATGATGCAGAACCTCAGGATTCTGATAGCGCTCCATCCGGTCCCACACACAAATACACACACACACGCACGCACGCACGCACAAACACACACAGCTGTTTTCATTTCCAACAGATCTCACACACAC